AAATTTGTGGCCTATTAATGTATCCTCTGTGACCAATACCTCTGATTGTTAAATCTCCTCATGTTGGCCTTCTGACAGGATTCTAGGCTGGTGCTCCAAAAAGTTATCTTCCAGAATTTACACCAAAAGGAACGTTCCTAAGCCCTGAGATAGGGGGAAAATAAAATTAATAAATGAATAAGGATGGGCACAGTCATACAATGAAGCCTTTGATGCTTTTTTTGCTTCTTTTTGGACATTTTTTTCTTGCCCTTGCCATGAAAAAGATATTATAAGGAGCCCGTTAAGAAAACAACCTAAGTGTTTGAAACACAGAGTATATTAACACCATCCCTGCACTATCAAAGATGCAGCTGTGTTTCAAAGAGTCTCCCAGCCTTTGGAACTCCCTCCCACTGGAAGGCAGATTGCCCCACCAGTATGTATTTATTTGTTAATACCGCCCATGGGGAGGGAGAAAGCAAGCATTTAACCCTTGCAGTGCAGGGGCAGTTGTTTTTCTAAACTAAAACCTCAGCATTCAGGTTTTAATTGCAGTATTGACACTTTGAAATAAATAAGTTGATTTAGTGTTGCACTTTGGGCACTTGGGCTCAAAAAGGTTCACCATCACTGCTATATATGAACACTTTTGAGATGGGACTTGCTTCTTCGGGTCAGCCAGAAACTCTTGTAGCATGTACATCTTCCCATTGGAGTTATTGGCACTTCACTCATCTATTTAAAAATGGGCTTCTTCTCTTCATTGGTATTGCCGAATATCTGTTCTAGGCATGTGTGTGAATGCTCCCTCCCCAACCTTTACTTGGTTGGGAAAGCCAATCAGGTCTTGAGGTGTTGCTTGGATTTACAAATGGCTCATGGTAACGGCGTTCCGTGTCTAGTCGCGCTGGCCACGTGACCACGGAAGATTGTCTTCAGACAAACGCTAGCTGTATGGGTTGGAAATGGGGATGAGCACTGCCCCTTAGAGTCGAACACGACTGGACAAAAATTGTCAAGGGGAACCTTTACCTTTACCATGGACAGGACTGACTCAGCCATTGGGCAGAGTGAAGCAGCTTCTTCTAGGAAGAAATGCTTAGAGGGTAAAGAGTAATGGTAGGGGTTAGAGTGCAGAGCTGTCTGGGCACTATGCAGCCTGCTCTGTGTCCCCCCCCCAGCTATCCTGTCGTCCTCCATTTATTTATTTAACTTATATGCCACCCACTCTACCCAAAGGTCTCTGGGAGAATGAAAGGTTCTGTTCTGCTAACAGAATTAAAATCACATGGAACAACTGGTCATCTTCTGTATATTCAGTGGAGTTTGGTGCCTTTTTGTCTTGTGTCCCAGGCAGCAAAATGGCTCAGGCTGGGCTTGTCCCAGGGTGGCTAACAGATCCTGTCACTGTGAAGTGAACATTTTAAAGAGGCTTCTGTGGTGCAATTTCACATAATGTGCTCACCTCTATATCTCTTCAGTTGTTTTTCCTGCTGCAAATGTAAAGAAACGGGCGGGGGGAGTGTTGGCATTGGCAAGAGACCCTTATTCTGTTAGTCCCACTTGTCAAATGGGTTAGGGCTTTCAGTAATATTTAGAAAGAATCCAGAGTGCAGGTCTTATGAAGTGTGTTCACTATTTCTGTCCAGTAGAGGGAAATGGTGGGTTTTGAAAAGAGATGGTTTTGCTGTTAAAGTCTTTGGAATTAGAGGGGAAACCCTCTGTTCATTTTCTATGTGGAAGAAGAAATACCTAAGAAACATAGTTCAGCACCCAATAAGCTTGTTTGGGGGGGGGAATCTGCTGAATAAAGATGTATTCCTTTCTGAGTTTCTTAGAGATTTCTATGACTGAACATAGGCTATGGAAAGTGCTGGGCCTGCTCAACAATTCTTTTGTTATCAAATCACATAGAATTTTTATATGATTACCAGTTTCCATGGTAGGTTTGACATTACACAATGCTGACCCTCGGTCAACAGACCCCCTGCACTTTTTTTAATTTTTAAACTAAATCTTGGTCTCTCTATTATATTGTGTTTAACTGGATAGTTCTACTTTATTCCTTTATTATATATTTTTTGTATTTAATGCCACAGATAAGTGGCATTGCCCAAGTAGTCATGGCAGTAGTGAAAAGAACTAGATATAAGAAGCAGTGTTTTTGTAAGTATGTATTTATTCAAGCATTTACCTGTTCTGTATTGACGGATCTCAGGATACATTCAATGAAATCATGTCAAAACCTCATACAGTTTCAGTATTTTAAAACACAGTATATTGTGCCTTAACCTCAAGATTTGTGCTTGAACCTCAAAGCCTTTGGGGTAACGGAGTTCAAGAGGCCTGACTGAGAACCAGACAGGGCAGGGATCCTGTGACCTTTCAGATTTTGCTGGACTGTCACTCCATCATCCATTACTATTGCTTATATTGGCTAAGGATGATGGGAGTCACAGGTTCGCAATATTTGAAAGTCCATGTAGATTCCCCACCTGAGGCAATTACTTCTGTGAACTGATTCTGGACTTCACAGGAGGGCAATAAAGGAATCTCTGTTTTTGTGTGTTCAGTATTTACTTCGAGAAAAGGGAGATTTTGTGCTATTTTTCTGTTCCAGGAACCAAAATAACATAATAGGCTTGGGAGATAAGAGCTTTTTGACTTTAGTAAGACATTTACTCTTTCTTCTCCCGGAAACATTTTGAAACAGTCTTGGCCCCGTGTCCTGCAGGTGTGCAGCAGAAGGGTGGAGCATGCTGTTCCTTCTTTGCTAGGTTCCTTGTAGTGGCTGTAGAATCATAGCATTGGAAGGGTTCTTGGAGTTCATCTAGTGACGTGCAGCCTCTTGCCCAGTGCAGAGTACAGCATGTGTTTGTGTACATTTTTGCAAAAGCATAACTGGGATGCAAAGCTCACTGAATGCAAATGATACTTCTTTCTCCAAATTTGTTCTTAAAAATTGAACCAGGCACTTTACCTATTCATGCTGCTGTACTTGGTTTCCAAATGAGGATGCCTTATCAGTAGAAATGGGCATGAACTGGTTTGTCCCAGTTTGTAGAGGTGGCAGGCCAGGTGCTGCTGCTCCCCTCCCCTGCCTGCTCTGGCTCAAGCAGGCACAGCTTGCTTGTTTTTTTCCCCCACCCCCTCAACTGATTTTCTAGTCCTGGCAACAGCTCAGGTTTCTCTGCATTACCCTCTTGGCTGGTCTCCCACTCAGACAAAAGGGCAGGTCGGAGAAGTCTGTGCTGTTGCTTCTGACTGGCAGATTAGCTGAGGAAGTAGAAAAAACAAGCAAGCTAGGCCTGGTGAATGGCTGTTTCAGGTAGAGGAGGCAGAGAGTGGAGCAGCAGCACCTGTGCTGCTGTCTTTATGAACTGGGACAAACTGGGATGAACTGGTTGGTGCCTATCTTTATTTGTCAGGCCTCAGAGGCAGTGTGTTAACAACTAGTGTTGAGATAATAATGGTTGTATCTTTTCATTTCTATTGCCTCACTTTCCCTTTCCATCAAAAATCAACCAGCTCAGGTAACACTCTATGTATCTCTTGAAGTGGGTTGCCATCCATGAGAAGTTATACCAGATAAAGCTCATTAATCTTTAAAGTGAGATTATACTTTGCTTCTTGTTGCAAAGAACTAACATGGCTATCACTTGGAGATATTTGCTTTCTCAAGGCACCCATAGTTCTTAAGTTTCAGTCAGGCTCCACTTGTATATTTATAGGTAAAGGAAATGTTACAAAAATCTCTGAAGCCCCTCTTAAATGCAAGCCTCTCAGTGTTGTATGAAGTGAGGAGCTGATAAGAACATGTTGAATCTTAATCATTTATTTGCTTCCAGAAGCCTGATTTAACATGCAGTTGACGTAAGTGGAGCACATGGCTTGTGAACAGACATATTTCTCAACCCCCCTCTTAACTACTTTCTATTTTAATTGCTGCCCCACTGTTTGATGTGGGTAAGGGATTTGGCAACAGATAGAAGAAAGGGGGCTTTAGCCTTGTCTTAGGGATCATGGTATGTGCATTCAAGTCATTTCTGATCTTCCCAGCTGTTGCATGTGTGTTATTTTCAGAAAATATAATCCCTTGGGGTCATGGGTGGAATTGTGTGACTATGTTGGGGAGTGGAGGTGCAAAAGGTCCTTAAGTCAAAAGCACCAATGGATCATTTTTGTTTGGAGTCAAACAGAACCTAGTTTTAAGAAAAAGAATGAATCAGAGAAAATCTTAGTGTATAGGACTTAGTGTGATGAAATTTTAAAAATTCTTTCTTAAAAATAGGTCCAATTGAATTTAATGGGACATGCTTCTGAATAGACATATAATGCACTTGTAAGCGACAATTGGAACATTCTGACACCTTCAAAATATTTTAGCGATATTTTAGCCACAATCCTATTGCAATTGTTGAGTGTAGAGGAGAAATTATATAACCGATAGCTATGATCACTCTGATTACTGTCATGTGCTTGGATGTGCCCAGGTTGTGCACTTGCGCATGCACTTCAGTGCATAACAGATGTCCAGAAAACTGCAAAAACTGCATGAACAGTTCTTCTTACACACAATGCATTTTGCTATAGGATTTTTCCCGTTTCATTTGTGAATGGCTGTTGGAATACATTAAACCAATAGCATGTCTCTTTTCAAATGTTGCTTCCAAGTGACACCTGTTTCTTCCTTAAAATTTCTTCCTATTTGCTCACTTCTGACTGACTATATTTTTAGCTCATATATATTTTCAGATGGCTCCAACTGATTGGAAAGATGTTGTAGATTATAATGGTGCCTGGCTGGGCAGCTAAAATAGTTACGTTTGTTAAAGTTTCCATTATAAATCTCTCTCTCTCTCTTTTCTTTTTGAAAGGTTTATAACATCTCATTCTATTTGCAGCTCAAAAACCTCCTCTCTACATCTCATTTTTCCCTGATGATTATCAGTTTGCTGCCTTGACAAAAGATTTTCAGAAGTTATCAGAGATTTTGAATCTTTGGATGGCAACATCATAAAAAGGTATGGTTATGGTCAGCAAATGTCAGGTATCATTTTTTTGTTGTTGCTACAAAATAGATTACAATCAGTGGTGCCTCCATCTCAGTCTTGAAAATGTTTGTCTGTCCCCTTAGCAGTGCATCGGTCAGGAGGCAGAGGCTGCTTGGCATCCACCACAGGATTTGTGTTTTCACTTTTTGGATGCTGCTGTTTACTGATGAGTGGCAGAAGTGTCTTATTTCTTGAAACAGAATGAATATTTCCTGCCTTAAAAAAGATGGGTGTCCTCTCCCTTCCTCTGGAGGCAGTTATAAGCCCATTATACAGTACTTGTATGGGTAAGTACTGTATAATATACCTGTCGCCTCAGATCCCACACAGGAAGGAGAGTATTTTTTAAAAGCTTCTGAGTTCCATTACGTTCCCCTTTCCTTCTTCTGCTCCAGAGCAGAGTGAAGCAATAGTCTCAGGCAGTAGATTTTGAATGCCTTGAAAGGGCAGCAAATTGTGTGTTTTCCCCTTTGCTGTTATGTTTCTGAGGTGGGGAAAGGTACTTGTGGGAATTCCTACCTTATGTGGCAACATAAATTATACTGTGGTGAATTATAAATTTATAAATGACTAGAGCAATATGCCGGCAAGTTTGGAAAACTTGGGAGTAGCCAGAGGATTGGAAAAGATCAGTCTACATCCTAATCCCAAAGAAGGGCAGTGCTAAAGAATGCTCCAACTACTCCACAATTGCACTCATTTCACATGCTAGCAAGGTTATGCTCAAAATCCTCCAATAGGATTTTGCAGTATGTGGACTGAGAACTCCCAGAAGTACAAGCTGGATTTCAGAGGGGCAGAGGAACTAGAGACCAAATTGCTAATATGCACTGGATTCTGGAGAAAGCCAGAGAGTTCCAGAAAAACATCTACTACTACTACTACTACGCAAAAGCCTTTGACTGTGTGGACCACAACAAACTATGGCTAGTTCTTACAGAAATAGGAGTGCCTGACCACCTTATCTATCTCCTGAGAAATCTATATGTGGGAAAGGAAGCAACAGTTAGAACTGGATATGGAACAACTGATTGGTTCAAAATTGGGAAAGGAGTATGACAAGGCTATATATTGTCTCCCTGCTTTTTAAACTTATATGCGGAATACATCATGCGAAAGGCAGGACTGGAGGAATCCCAATTAAGATTGCCAGAAGAAATACCAACAACCTCTGATATGCAGATGATACCACTCTCTTCAGAAAGTGAGGAGGAATTAACGAACCTCTTAATGAGGGTGAAAGAGGAGAGCGCCAAAAATGGTCTGAAGCTCAACATCAAAACAACTAAGTTCATGGCCAGTGGTCCCATCACCTCCTGGCAAATAGAAGGGGAAGATATGGAGGCAGGGACAGATTTTACTTTCTCGGGCTCTATGATCACTGCAGATGGGGACAGCAGCCACAAAATTAAAAGACACCTGGTTCTTGGGAGGAAAGCAATGACGAACCTAGACAGCATCTTAAAAAGCAGAGAACCTTGCTTAAAAACTCCCTGGAAAAGTCCCTGATGTTGGGAAAGTGTGAAGGCAAGAGGAGAAGGGGACGACAGAGGACAAGATGGTTGGATGGTGTCATCGAAGCTACCAACATGAATTTGACCAAACTTTGGGAGGCAGTGGAAGACAGGAGAGCCTGGTGTCCTCTGGTCCATGGGGTCACGAAGAGTCAGACACGATTTAATGACTAAACAACAAAAACAGAGCAAGTTTTGTCCCTTTATCTTTTGGACTGCAACAGTGATCAGCCCTAGTGAGCATTATGAATGAGGAGAGATACTGAATTTTGCAGTCCAACATCTTCTTGAGGGCTGCAACTTGCCTAATAGTAGTTTCCAAAAAGAACTTGGGGTTCTTCTTTGTGGTCTCTGTGAATGCACACCATAAGGTTTAAACTGCACTTGTGCAGAGGTTTCCGGAATATTCTAGATCTTTATCACGTGTTCGCCAAGACCGCCCCCTTTGTACATGTGTTCTGCCCATCCTGGCAATTGCCCCAGTTCCTTTTTGCCGCTGCTGCATCTCATTACGAACTCTTCGTTCGCCAACTGATTGCGCTTCTTTCGCTTCTTTCTAAGAGTTAAATAACAGAAAGGAAACAGTAAGAGACTTTTCAAGCTGTTTCCTTCTTTTCTGACTATCCCCCCTTTCCCTCCCCACCCCTTTTAAGGCACCTGTGGCTCCATTTAAATGGTGTACTTCATGCCCAAACACGTGTCCAATGGGCACGACCACTGTCTTTTCTTGGGGAATCCCATTAAACCAGCTTTTTGTCAACTTTGTAAAAACTTCACAAAATGGACACTAAAACTCCGACAACAAGGCCTGAGATCCTTCCTCCAGGAGCAGTCTCTCCTCCCAGCCACCAAGTTAGCCTCCAGTTAAATGCCATCGATATTGACCGTACCGATACTGGCAACCTGATACTGTTCCCTACATCGAACCCAAGCGTTCCCAGTATATATATTATTATCCATCTGATGCATCGGTCTCATCTTCTCCTCCTCAGTACCATCCACAGTCCTGTGAATATTATCCAGCCTTGTCTGAAGATGACAGCATGTTTCCACCCTGGGTACTGAAGCCGTATAAACCATCTTGTAAGAGGAGTCATTTCTCTGAACCCATAACTGGACAGCAGCCGTCGGTACCAAAGAGATCTTGACCATCGCTTCAGGTTCACTTACCACCTTCTGAACCCACTGCACTTCCACAGGTCCATGCATCTTCTGTACAGGTAACAACTACCTATACTGGACCTCTGCCTATCGACACTACTCAGATCTGTCAAACAAAGTGCTCTAAACCTCGTCAATCTACATATCATCCTGTAGCATCTCAATATGTTACCAATGAGACCACTCGTTACCAACCAGAGTCTCGTTCCACCAATTCTGCCTCTCCTTATCAGCAACATTCTCCACCATCACCTCTGCAATCCTCAGATTCGGATACCCCCGACTTTTTACCACTGCAAAATTCACCTCCGAATCTACCTACACCAGACTCTGATGTAGCGGACATTATTCCTCCCTCCGTCGGAGGATTTCTCATCCTACTCATAGCTCTTGCTCCACATAGCCAAAGCTGTGGACCTAGATGTCCAACAACCAGTCCAATCTAAGTCTGACAAAGTGTATGAGGACATTAATGAGGACCAAACACCACCACTCCATATGGGATTTATCCCATCCCTCTTAAAATTGATCAAACAATCTTGGTCTAAACCTTCCTCTGTACCGCAAATGTCTCAAATAATTTGTCTAAGACTCATGGAGACAATACTGCTTTCCTTTCAAAGCACCCACCTCCAAATTCTGTCATCATTGAAGCTATTCAAAACAGGGTGCACAACCATTCCAACAGTACTCCTAACAACAAGGAGGGTAGGAAATTGGACACCATTGGATGCAGACTTTATTCCCTTGTGTTGTTTACCCTCCGAGCTGCTAATTACCTTGCAGCTGTGGGAGCATATCACCGCTTTCTCTGGAATAAAGCCCTACCATCTCTCCAGTCAGTACCTGCTGAATACAAGGCTCATTGCCACACTTTCCATAAAGAAGCCATGGAATGCATTACTGCACATCATGTCATAGAGGCTGTGTCTAAACATATGGCTAGCACCATCACTCTTCGCAGACATGCCTGTTTCCGTTCAGCCCATATCTCAGAGGATTTCCATATGAGAACCGAGGGCCTGCCTTTTGATGGCACACGTCTTTTTGATAAGACTGATGAAATATTGAATAATCTGCAGAAATTAAGGAAAACAGTACGGTCTTAGAACACTCAACCATATTACAAAACTTAACACTATCAATGGCGTCGCCCGTACGCTTACCAACAATACAAGCCATTCTCTGACAAACAGCGATACTTACCCCAGTCTTCCTCTTCATTTCAGCCTAGACACAACACACAGTGTCAGTGCCCCAACAATCCTTTAGGCACCCTGAGAAGAAAACAAAACAGAATCTTTGACTTTCCTGTTCCTCAGATCTGCCTATCCCACCTGCCTCTACCCAGCACTATTCATCTCTCAGCCTTCGTGGACATCTATCACCACAAATTCCTGGGTCCTCACCATTGTCACTACTGGATATGCAGCAGAATTTGCTCTCACACCACCACCAAGGATCATTCTAACTTCACCATCAGAGGTTTTGGGGCAAGAGATAAAATCCCTTCTGCTGAAGGATGCTATAGCACCCATCAACCTTTCAGAACACGATCCCGGGTTCTTCTCCCATTACTTTACCATCTCAATATGTGATGGAGGCCTATGCCCCATCCTTGACCTTCAGGACCTCAACTACTACATCATTCAAAAATGCTTTCGTATGGTGACGTTAGAAGGAATCCTGCCAATCTTTCAGGAAAATGACTAGTTTGCCATCATAGACCTAAGCAATGCATACTTTCATATTACTATCTGCCAAGATCACCACAAATTCCTCAGATTCTCACTAGAAAACACCACTTACAAATTCAAAGCCCTTCCATTCGGGCTCACTACCGCTCCACGGGTCTTCACCAGTGCATGGCTCCGGTAGCAGCTTACCTCCGCACCCAAGGAATTTCCATCTTCCTTTACATCGACGATTGGTTGCTGGTATCCCCTTCACATCCTCAAGCCCTTAAAGATATACAGGTGACTCTCTCTCTCTTCTGGACCTCAAAGTCAATGAAGAAAAATCTATACTGTCTCTGGCACAAAGAGTTACTTACATAGGTGCCATTCTAGATTCCTGAAAGGTACGGGTCTTCTTGCCTTAAGAGCGGGCAAGAAAACTCCATGCTCTTATCTACCTCTTCCTACCTTATGCACTTGTCACTGCACATCATGCTCAATGTCTTCTTGGCTTTATCGCCTCCACCACATCCATCATACAACACAACAGACTAAATATGTGTTCCCTGCAGGTGTGGTACCTCCCCCTCTTCGATCCAATATCAGATCCATCTTCCAAGCTCCTGCAGGTTACACCCAAGCTATCAGCCCATCTTCTCTGGTGGGACACTCCAGCCAACCTCTTCATTGGCAGACCATTTGCCCCTCTACAACTGTCAACCCAAGTTACTGCAGATGCCAGTCCCACTGGATGAGGAGCACATTACAGTGGCTTACACATTCATGCCCCTTGGTCCCAAGCTGAGGAAAACCTTCGCATCAACAACCTTGAACTACTAGCCATTTTCAAGTCACTCTATGCTTTCAAGCCTCTCATTACCAGCACAGCCGTACAAGTAACTACAGACAATACCACAGTGCTCTTCTACATAAACAAGCAGGGTGGCACTCACTCTCTTCCGTTGCTCTACCTTGCCATCCAACTATGGGAGTGGTGCCTAGAATGCCATATCTTTCCTATAGCAGTTCACATAACTTCGCAAGACAATCACGTAGCAGATTTTCTCAGCAGGACTCGAATAGAGATGCATGAGTGGACCTTTGACCAGTCTGTCTTCCTCAGCCTTTGTGAATTGTGGGGAACCCCACACATAGACATTTTTGCAATGTCCCAGAACTCAAGGTGCCCCCTCTACTGCTCCAGAGCAGGCATAGGTCCTGGCTCCCTTGGGGATGCACTTATGTTTCTCATAGAAAATATAGAAAATATAGCCAGACTACTAAGCATAGCCTGTCTCCTGTTTTTATGGTGGCACAAATGTCTTCTGACCCTTCAGTGGCTGGATTTCAGCTCAAATATATGGTGAGTATCACTAGCTAAATCCACCCTAAGTAACCACAGAAAATGTACTTCATCTTGCTATTAGGTGGAATAAAGTGGAATGAAACTGGGTGGCATGTAACAACAACTTAAAGAGACAGACCTTACATATTAACAAGCGATTGTTTACAAATTGGCCTTTTAAAGTTTTCCCTGAGGAAGATATTCTAAGATCTAGAACATTCCACCAAAAGCTAGTCCTACAAGGGTATAAATACAGGTAAGAAGATGAGAATTTTTATCCTATAATTGCCATTCCAAATTGTCCATTTGGGTAAAAGACTTCAAGCTTTCAAAAGGTGGCAGGATTAAGAACTGGGACTGCAGCAGCAGTAAATAATAGCTGAAATAAAAATGTTGCCAAACTGAGAGAGAAACAGAAAATAGTCTCTACCACTTGTTTCTGTGAGTTAGATAACAAGGAAATCTCTCATCAACTCCAAATATACTGCACACTGTAACTATATGTACATACATTATACAGTGATTAGAGCTACCATACTGCATTGTGGTCTTGATCCGTATTGATGGTTGTCTACAGCTGCAGCTGGTTTTGGAGAAGGAAAAATGCCAAAGTTCCACTTACTGATCTTGCACATAATGTCTAGTTTGATGCGAACAAATGCTTGAAATGTGTGAGTGAATGACATGACATTGTTCTTGTTTTATCTTCGATTTTGGCACACACATAACATGCATAGAATCTTATAATAGAATTTACACTGTTTGAAGTCCTTGGCTTGTTTCAGAATTCCTTATTTGTGTAGCTCAGGCTCAGCACTGGCATTTGGGACTCAACAGCTGATCATCAAACAGGTTTAGAATTAGTGTAACAGAATAGTATAGACAGTGGTGGTGATCCACATTAAGGAGGAGCATAAGAATAGCCACAGCAAAGCAAAAGGTGCCATATACGAATGGCAGGTTATCATTTCTTCCCCTTACTATATCATCTAGATCTTTGTCCTTATCTTTATCTTTTCATCGTGCACTTCTTCCAGGGAGCCCACAGGAGATTTAATGGCTTTTGCTACACTCCCTTATACCTCTCCTTTCACAACAAAACGATGAGATTGGTTAGGTTAAGAATAACTGGCAAAGGGCCTCCCAGTTAACTTAATGGCTAAAGTAAGTCTTGAATGCAGCACACTATAGTAAAAACTCAACAGTGCTCCCATTCTAGCTTTAAAATCAGCATGGTTAGGTTAAGGGAGTCACAGGGACATCTGCAGTTTGAAAGAAGATGGATTCCCTGTCTCCAGTCAGAAACCAGCTATAAATGATGTCCCAAAGACAAGACCAGTCCCACTGTGAAGCAAAATGAGAGAGATACACTATACCTCTCATGGAAGATCCTGGGAAGCAGAGTGAATGACGTTGAATGACAGAACTGGGCAGCTAAACAACTTCCCTGTAGTCCTGTGGAGAGTGGTGTCCTATTGCCAGTGTCACTCAGCTACCAGTCTGGTCAGCTTTTGTACGTACGTGGACTTGCATCTGGGAGCCATCTTATCTGTCATCTAAGGTCACAAAATTCCCGGGGCACAGTTGGCTCAGAATCGTTAGCATATATGTTTTTATGTGTATAGAGAAACTACAGTGCTAGATTGGAGTGAAGCTTTATGCTTTGATCCTAAATTCCAATTTCACACTTTTAGATAGTTTTTAATGATGCAAAAGCTCTTCAGATACAAACAGACAGATCTTTTGAGGAGCAGTGGGAATAGCTTTCTTCTTAAACTTTGTAGCAGGAACACAAAGCCTTCTGGTTGTAATTCTGACTGTCTAAAACACCTTGGGATTTGATTGAGGCAAAACATCTCTGAGGGAAGAAAACTGCAGAGGAGTAGGAACTTGTCTGATACCAAAGGATTCCAGCATATCAGGAGAACATGAGAGCTGTGTTTCTACCACTGTTTTGAGCTAACACCATGCTGTAATAGAAAACAACCTATGTTCCGTTTACAGAGGACTGTCTTACGTGCAAAGACAATGTCTGTTCCTTGAAAGATTATCAATCTCAAATCCAATTCAAGGATCTAGAACGATACGAATGGGGAGCATGTGACACTAAAGTTGCCAGTCAACAGTTATAGTTACTCTTTCTAAATATTCAATTACACACATATCAACATAGCCAAATTTTGCACATATTTTTGTCCTCTTTAGTCTTATTTCTGGGAGGGGCAATGATGCAAAAATAGTTACCCTGCCTACCTAGTTTTAAACTGGCAGCATCCAATTGTGTTTGAGTGTTGGCTCCCTTGCACTGGAGTCATGTCCCAAAGTAACAACAGTTTGGGGTTCTTTCATATTTTGTAACTCTTATAGGCCTGTAAAGTATGAAGGCAGATTCCATCCTGAACCTCAACAGAGTCCTTTCCTTTGCATAGAGGGACTGAGATTTCAGAGATGGAAGTAACTAGCTAGAAATAATTAGTTACTTATAACTTTTTAAAGTAACAATGGTATAACTATATTACATTACGTCTCAAACTTAGTGATGGAGAGCTTCACTCCCTTTTCAGTGTAGCTGTAACTTTTAAGTTGCTTTTATAGAAATGGGTGGTGGGAGGACTTCACTGAATCATAGAAGAGAAATGCTACATGATTCAACTGCTGACTTGAACTGCTGGATAGCTGAATGATTTAGGGATCTGGCTGTGGAGTCTGGAGTTGGGAGTTTGGTTCTCCATCGTGCCTCTTTGACAGGGGGGGTTGACTTGATGATCCATAGGGTTCCTTCTAGCTCTGAAGTTTTAAGGTTTAGTTACTATATATTGTGTTGTACTTATATTCTTATCCTTGTGTTGAGGTAGACAGAATGAGAATGTGTTTTAAATTTATACTGCATGGGCAGTATGTTTAAATTTTTATGAAGGAACTTAAAAGTAACAATTTAGTTGCCTTCGAGAAGCAGTAAAGTATAGAGATAATGTTTTAAATGGCAGCTATAACAGTAATGACCATCTCTGGCATGTGCTTAATTGCTTTTAAAAATTATTGTTCTGAATATAAAAGCTAGAAGTGAATACTTCTACTGTAATACGGCAGGCTCGTTGACCACACTCAGTCAAAAACTGTATACATAAAATATTGACAACTGACAAACTGCAAATGCTTGTGAATTTGATTTGCACTAGGATGAGATGACTGCTCAGGAGACATTTAGCAAAAATGGATGTTCTTCATCTATCCCGTCATCCTAACCTTGTGCTTATGCCCCTTAAATTGCTCCATTAGAAGTTTGGGGGGCCCTTTTCACACTCTGTAGAGCTGTAGTGGGAAGACAAATTGGTCAATATCAAGCAAAGGCACCTTGGACAAATGGAGCTCTGCTTTGAGGTGCTCCATTCTTCCTCACTCTCTCATACCATATTCAAGAGGCCCCCACCGAACTCTCTGCTGAGGTGTTTTGTGGAAGTCAAAAGGCAGGAATGTTTGGGGATCTTGTGCTCATGTCACTTTCTCTCTCACCTAGGAGCAAGGCACCTGGTCCACACACAATTTCGGAGCACAACTCCAACAATCCATTTCCACTGGCTCTGCTGGCTTAAGCTGGAGCTTGGAAATGTTGGTGTTTTGGACATCCGTTTCCAGAATGCTCCAGCCACCATCATTATTGGCCTCGCTGCCTGGAGAATTCTGTGAGTTGCAGTCAAAAAGGTAAATTTTCCAAATTTCTGATTGGGACTGCTGGCCAAAAACATATGGATGGCCCCAGTTGTCCAACTGTGATCTAAATCATTGGGTAAAACTAATATCCATAGTTCTGCCAATCAGCCTGGGCTTTAGCTAGGTACCTCCTATACTAGGACTGTGCCAGTGCTAGATCTGGACCAGATAGTGTGGCCATGGGTACACACTCATAATGAAGGTCCCATACCCGTTTTGCCACCAAAAGTTGCCCACTCAGACAAGGAGGTGGGGCAGGGATTCCTGCAGTCCTGCCTTTGAGTGGGCAGCTGCTAGAGGAGGCAGAGGAGGGAAGCATAAGCTACTGCTGTGACTGGATGATCACACAAAGAGCAGAAGAGCAGCTGGATGGTTCGTGACCATCTCTATAACATACCATTATGCAGCTTGGCCTAGTTTTGCCAGTTCAGCAACATGCTAGTCCCTGAAAAGTCAGGTTCAAAGCCTGATACCTTGTGGTGTCACTGGACAAGGGCCGTATAGCAGCCACTGCATAATGGTCTGTATGTGACAAACAGACAATGTAGAGACTCAGTTGTGAAATCCTGTCGTGACCATAGAGCATTCAAGATAGTGAAAAAGACCAAGGTGCATCTGAGAATATCTTGATGTCATGAGAAGGAATCCAGAAATCCGGGACTGCTGGGTGGGCAACATTCCTTTCCTTGATAAAAGTCCAGAGCCTAAGACCTAGAGAACAGACCCCTTCTCCAAAACAATCTAGTCTGAGAGTCACAGCCTAAAACCCATCAACTTTAATTTTGTCCCTTCTGGAAAAATTCTTTTGGATACTCATGTCCAGCTATTGTGAGAACTGCAGCCAAGTTGAGAGAGACTGCCCTCATAGAACAAAATGTTTCTTTCTTTGACCCTGTGAGCCCTTGCTCTGCTACAGCACTGATGGGGCTCATTTCTGTTCATAGAGTAGGAAATGTAAGAGCTGTGTAGGGTGGAAAACTGAATGGTTGGGAAAGTTCAGTTGGTGTGGCCTCTGGTCAAGAAACCTTATCCCATCCTCCTCAATTTATTTGCCTTTTAATTGACATGGTCGTTTTTGTTGTGTTTGTCGCAACAAATTATTCTTCTGGAGTTTCCTCACATTGAATGAGGCCTGTTTATTTTTTTATGATTGTTTCAGGACAGTATGGGGCCACAGTTCCAGGTGCCACATCCAGTCTGTGTATTCTGTTATGCTGAGTTTCACTTATCTGTCTTGTTTGCATTTGCAGTGAGAGCAGAGATACAAATAAGAGGAGCTCTAATCCAAACTTTTATTAGGACAAAGCAAAGCACAGTATGCTATCTGAAACATTTTGATAAGAGGACATGCATTTTCTCATCCTTGGTGTTTCAATCATGGGGAAACAAGAGGAATGTAAAGAAAAGGAATTTTGAACACAGACACTTGTTTTTTTATTACACCCCTTTACTACAAACACAAACGTGTCCCTGTTTACATTTCTCCTGCCCAAGAAAGTAGAGAGAGGGAGGAGAAGGAAATGCCTAATGGCATGGTGGCTCTTTAAAGGATTAAGGACACTTGTGTCCTCCATTTCCCGTTGTTTGAGGACCATGTATAACATTATATAAAATACATTAAAGCATGTTTTTCCCCCAAGGGTTGAGGGGTGCATTGCCATCTGGATATTGGAGCTTCTTAAAACAGGCAGATGAAATGCAGAGTTCCAAACTATCCCTGTGTCATCCAAGGAGACTAAAAGAATTTTTAGCAGTAGTTGCCATCAGCCAGATATCTAATTTGAATTCAATACTGTCAAAATAAATACATAAAACATGCAGGCTCTCAGGTTTCTTTAAGAATACAGTATGTGACAATAATGCCTGGGATTTAAGGCGGTACTGTACGTTAAAGATAACCCATTACTGGAGCTGTAATCACATGAGCATTTTGACACATAATTCAAGTGGATCTTTGATTTTGAGAAATCAGTCCTGCTAAAATCCCAATCACAATGTGAGTGAATTTGCAAATTGAGGTAAGAAAAGAAACGCCTTCCTCTTCTGACAACCACTTTCAGCAGTTCAAGTGCATAGTGGAAGCTTTCCTCACCTTATATTATTTAACTTGCTTTATTTTGCAACTGATCTTCTGAGTTTAAACATGGGATTCCTTTGAACTCTGATTTTTCAAATGTGAAAGACTGAAAAACCATGCACCCCAATGTATTTTTATTTCTATGGTATATGTTTCTGTTCCTAGAGGCTCTGCACAATTTGCTTGGGCCATGAACATTGCCCCATGACTGGATTGCTTCAAGATCACCTTGGCATTTTCTGTAGCTGACGGATGATGAGTATCAAATGATACAAGAAACCGGCTTTGCAATTAGAAACTCTGCTTCCTTAACATCTACCTTGAGGCTTCCACAACTCTACAGGTTGGAAATGTTGTTTGTTGGTCACTGAGAGATAAGCAGTGAGCTTAATTTGCATGGTAGCTCTGAAGTAATGCATTTCTAAAAGGATTGTTTTTTATGACCTAACTGCAAAGCTAATGTATTCTATAGTTCGCCAACTGTTTCTGTATGTGGCTGCCAGGACTGACCACCAAAATTGTTCAGAATTCTTCAAAACGAAGATGAGGATAGCTCATCTGTTTTCCCCACTTTTGTTCCTAAGCAAAATGCTGCCCAATGGCTAGATGATTCCTATCCAACATTACTTAGTTACAAATTAAAAATGGGCTAAAGAATAAAAAATGTTAAAATAAAACAAACCCCAGACTGTCAATGTGCTTCCATGAACAGAGTTGCTTCATATTAGTCACGAGAATGTTATTTTCCATTAAAAAATACTGGCCAGTATCCAGTGGTGTCGTTGCATTTGTGCGAATGATGTTGACCTTGGAAACATCTGATTTGCGAAAGGAAGAGTTGAAATACAGCTTCTGGTTGTGAATTTGGTTGTACAGCCAGTAGTAGAACCTGCTGCACAAGCCGTAACATGCATGCTGTCACAAGATGAAATGTGTTACTGCCTGCATAACTGGAACAACCGAGTACACTCTACAAGCCCACTGTTTTCCTCTGATAATATTATGCTGGATTTCGATGACTGTTTCCTCTGAATAAATACTTCTACTGAAAAACTCTAATAAGTGTCTTCAGTTATCCTGTTACTGAGCCAGTGTTTATATTATACTATGAGGCTACTCAGAATCCTAAAGTAGTTATAAACGGACAGACAATTATATTAAAATTTCAAGTTGAATTCATTGCACATTTATTTTGCGTAAGTGTGGCAAGCTTGTAGTATGTGGCATTCACTAGAGAGATGAGGAGAAATTAAGATAAGTTTGCATTTCCAGGAAGAAATTTACCTCTTGGGTTTGCTTGGAAAATGGCAAGAAAGGATTTAAAAAAAAGATCAGTAGCTAAAGTACAGTCCATTGGTATCATGTTATTGCTGCAAATGAGAACCAGCCTCATCTTTGAAATGAAGGTTCACTTCAGCAACTCAATGCATGAACATTGTCTGAGAGGACAAAAATAATGGATATCATACTATGCATCAGTAGCACCTCCCTATTAAGTAGCACATGGTTATGGTCTGCAAATTGGCCACGGAGAGTTTTCCAAAATACTAATCTATACCACTACAGATCCAAGGGGTACGTCCAATCAAGAATTCCTGAGAATAGTGGTTCTATGGAAGGACTTGGGGTAATTAGGAGACTTTCAAACACTACCATGGAATTACACATTTCAGGATTCTTTGGAGTAAATAATAATAACTAATTTGGTTGAAATGTTCAGCGTATTATGTATGGATATAACCCCATGCTCTTCAAGAGAATGCCATATAGTAGCTGAAACTCAGTGGTGGGATTCAGCAGGCCAACAAACGGTTCTGCAGAATCAATAATACATTAGCTACCGGTTCTGTAGAACTGGTGCGAACCTGCTGAATCCCACCACTGCTGAAACTTATTATTTAGTTGAAGCTGACTGCCTTCTTTGGAAAAATAATGGGCTGAAAGCATAAAATTAGGTTCAAAACAAACATTGGAATAGTTCAGAATATTGTCATTCCCTTAAAACTGAGTTGCGCTGGAGCTCAGATTTGCAGGATTTGATAAGCTCAGCTGCAGGTTTTTGGCATCCCCCTGTTTCATTTTGCCATCATGGAAAACAATTCATACAGACAGATCATCCGACCTAGCCTTACTGCTGGTGCGGCTGGTTTTGCTGAGCCTGCGTTTCTCGTGGAAGTAGCCATTGGGCAGAAGGTTGGGTACAGAATTGTTGCTGGCTTCAGAATTCTGCGTATAGTTAACTTGGATGAATGGACCTTCTCCAACTGTATCATCTTGGTTGTGAACCCTCTCTGTTGCAAAATTGGCTGTGTTCTGCTGAGATGCCATTTTGTTACTGAAAGGGCTGATATACTTCCCACCGGGGTTGGCCAAACACTGATTAAAATCAGGAGGTGGGGTGCAGCTTTGTACTGTCTTCTTTGCTTGGGAGTCTGCCTGCAGTATCCCAGTATCTGGGCTAGAGTTGCTTTTGCAAGAACGGGAGAACTTCTGCCTTGCCTTTTTCCAACCCAAGTGATAGAGCTCAGCGAGGCTTAAGAAGAGGGACAGTGCAGCCACAGCCAGCATGAAAATAATAAAGATGTTCTTCTCTGTTGGACGAGAGACGTAACAGTTGACTGGATTAGGGCAGGGTTGCCGATTACAAACGTAGAGCGTCTCAAGGAAGATCCCATATAGCATGTACTGCCCTACAATGAAAGCTACCTCCATGGTTGTACGAATCAAAATGCTGCAGACGTAAGTGTTCAGCAATGTGCCTTGAAGAATGATCCTCCCAGTTGGTTCATCCCAGCATGACAGCTCAGCCTTCTCAGGTGTTGGGTACTCCTGCTGATGGAAAGCATTACTCTTGCTTTGGATTTCCCTTGAGCTTTCTTTGGCCTCCTTAAGCTTCCTCTTCTCTTCCATACGCACTGTGTGCATTGCATGGCCCATGTACAAAAGTGAGGGGGTGGAGACAAAGATAATCTGAAGGACCCAGTATCTGATATGGGAGATGGGAAAAGCTTTGTCGTAGCAGACATTTTCACAACCAGGCTGCCGAGTGTCACACATGAAGTCGGACTGTTCATCTCCCCAGGAGGATTCTGCAGCTGTGCCCAGGACAAGCATCCGGAAGATAAAGAGTACAGTCAGCCAGACTTTCCCCACCACTGTGGAATGCTTGTGGACTTCTTCAAGGAATTCGCCCAGGAAGCTCCAGTCACCCATTTTTGCTCAAATGGGAGACTTGCCTCTGGAGAGAGAGAGAAAAAAAGCAAGAGAGTGATTTATGGTGAAAGAGATATGAATTCTTCATTTGCAATGAAATGGCATTTAAAAAGTTCTAAAAAAGGCACAAAACTAATGGAGGCTTATAAAGGTATACATTCTGGACAATATATAAAAATGCATTACATTATGGCAAAGTGGGATAAACATACTGAAGAACCTTCGGACTATTCAGAAATTTACCTCTTGGTCTCACTCTTGCTTTTTAATATTTCCCCTCACCAATTGTTCAGCAAATCTTTAGGTAGTTAATCTGCTACTGAAATGTACAAACAATAGAATCTCTATATGTTTCAGTTCAGAAGTTCTAATTTCAGTAGAGCTTACTTCCAGGATCCTGTGTATGGGATTGCAACCTAAAGCTTGAAATTCTGTTTCTTTTAAAGCACTGTGGCAGGCATATTGCATGCACTCTCTCTTAGCAACCCACCTTGGGACTGTGCAACATGCCTAAATCTTTGTTTGGCATTACTTGACTGGATGGATGGCTAATCTATCATGGGTTCACTGAGCGATGACCTCATTTAACCTTCCCAGCTCCCCAGTGGTTTCATTCATGTCACCTGCACTTAAACAAACCATTCGTCTCCCTAAAAATGCAGCCTAGTTGCAAGTGAGCAACAGTGACACAACACAATTCTGAGTGCGTTAAAACAGTTTAGCGAGAGTCTTCTTGTCTGGATGTTGCAGTCCAAATGCCTGTGGCTGCCTCTTTTTGACCACGGAGCTATAAAAACCCTTTGTTACTTTATTTCATTGGAGAAACCCTTTCCCTTCCTCATTTTTATTGCCACGGTGTCTTTTCTTTCCCTTGTGTCAGCCCATGCACTAAATGACAGGGAGGGGAAGGCCACAGTGCTCCATTACTCTTTGCCCCAGACAATGCCATGATCTCGACAAGCAAAGAATAGGAAACAAGACTGAAGAACTCACTGATGAGGTGGGCAGGCCAACCCATCTGTGTAACCTTCTGTTTCAGAAAGCTCTTTTTGTATGAATGTCAGTTCTTTGCCTTTGGAGACCCAAAGTTTTTTCTCTTTCCGTCTTTTCTTTTCTTTCTTTTTTTCTTTAGGCCTAGCTACAAGTGGTTCAGCAGTGATATAAATAGCAGAACATGGCAGCTAACAAAAGGTTACCGAAGGTTACCAGAAGAGAGAGTGTGATAGGTATGGTCTTAAATCTATTCAAATGTGTAGTCATTCCTTCAACCCGTTAGTGACCTCATGTTCCTTGTTACTAGCAGGGTTCAATCTATGCTAAGATTAGTGACTAAAATGAATCTGGAAAGCTTGGTTTTTCAAATGTTGATTTGAATATCTTTGCTCTGGGAAAAGGGGGCTACTTGGACCTGTCCTTAGAACCTCTTTTGACTTGTGAGGGTACTGCCAGTTGCTGCCTAGTTATGGTCAGTGGGTCATAAAGATGCGTATGCATGCATCACGCATGCACACGCACGTGCACACACACATACAGGCATTCATGCATGCAAACATACAGAGGCAAGCAGGCATTCACTCATACTCCCTCACCCACACCAGGTGACTTTCCTATTCAAATTTGTTCCCTCACTTTCTTTCTGCCTCCACCTACATCTCTCTCCCTTTCTCTCTCACACACACATACAAGCATACATAGACACACACTGTGTGAGTCTAGGACTTCAGGAGGGGAATACAGTTGCGGTTCTGATCAGCCACCTCTGGTAAGGGGACAAGCAAGCGTGGACTGCTGGGGGTTGCTAAACTGCCCTCCCCCCTGTGAGCTGAGTCCTCAGTTTACTGACCTCGGAATGGTGGAAGGCTGAGTCAACCTTGAGCTGGCTACCTGAACCTGTTGAGACTGAAGCCAGATCATGAGCAGAGGCTTGGCCGCAGTGCTGCAGTTCTACCACTGAGCTATGAAGCTCAGAAATAATTTTCTGACATGTAAAACTTAAATACTAGATTATCCACAATACAAAAGCAATAGTTTGTACTAAGAATGCCTCTCTATTTCATATGTTTTTAAGCAAGGATACTTGTTCAGAAGAGAGTGCACAGTTGCTGTTTGTCTGTGGTATCTTTTAGATAATGTGAAAGTGATATGGGAACTATATTTTCTGGGAGATGCCCTGTGGTAACAGTTTAACATTTAAAGGCTTGGCACCAAGTGATTAAGCCTATCAAATGGGTGCTTGTTGTTGCTGGGGCTGGCTGGGCAACCATCTTTTTAGTACAGATCTAAACACATGGGAATCTATACCTTTAAACATTGTGACAGCATGGTAGGATTTGCTCATGAAAAAGTGGCATTTCCTTCAGAAATTAAGCAGGTGGCCACAGCTTGGAAAAGTAATTTTCATCTATTCTGGCTGCAGAAAATCCCCGACAGGATGGCCAGTAGCAATGCTGGCTGAGAGATTCTGAGAGTTGTAATCCAAAAAAGTAACTTTTTTTCAAATTAAGTACGACCCCCTCTGAAATAACCTTTTCTATGGCCATTCCCTAACTGAGAATCTCTCCCAAGGCATCTTTGTCTAGTGATACCACTGCTTTCTGTGGGAAACCAGACAATGTTTGAATTACTGTATATTTTTGTGGTTTTAATGGTGTCAACCCAAGACATTGTGCTGCTTGTGATGGAGTCAGATGATACATTTCCTCCACCAGAGGAAAAACCGTCAAAAATTCTTGTTGTATCAAAGTTTCAGTTCAACTGTTTCTTCCTTTGACTGTAATCCTATACATACTTACCTGACAGTAAGTCCACTGAAGTCAGTGGAATCTATTCCTGAGTAGACCCACCTAAAAGGTACTACTTCATATCTCCTATTATTTATTATTTTATTAATTTAAAATATTTATATGCCACCTAAAAGGAACCACGTTGACTTACTGTATAAAAAGAAGCAATATTAAAAGCTGAAACAATAAATTATTACAATATTTAAAAAAGAATTGAACAAATGTATTAAAACATGTAAGTAAAAGCAGTATTAAAAACACACTCAAAACAATAGTCTCCGTTAAAAAAAAAAAAGCTCTACTTATTCAGACATTTAGAGAAAGCCTGCCTGAAGAGAAAAGTCTTTACTTGCTTGCAAAAGGACAGCAAAGATGGGGCCAGCCTAGTCTCCCATGGGAGGGAATTCCAGAGTCTGGGAGGAGCGACAGAGAAAGCCCTTTCCCGTTTCCCCACCAACCGCACCTGTGAAGGTGGTGGGACTGAGAGAAAGACCTCCCCTGATAATCTTAAAAACCAGGCAGACTTCCCCATCCCACTTTCCATCAGTCTGTAGTGGTGCTTCTCCTCGTTGGGTTCCCAGATGTTCTTGAACTAAAATTCCCAGAAGCCTTCACCACTAGGTATGCTGGCCAGGATTTCTGGTAGTCCTAGAATATAATGGGAACTATGGATGGTAACCACTGCTTTATAGATAATTGATTTAGCAAAAGATTTTTAAGGAAGATGTGCTCTCTAAAGTAGTGAAAGAAATCTTTTTATCTCTTTGTGTTTCGATTGGTCATTGAAAGGTAAACATAGGCTTAATTTGCAAATCTGATTACTGAAGCACATACCTCTGAAGAAATGCCACTATGGAAGTCAAAACAAATTAGTAAAAGGGAAAATAATTCCCCTCCTTGTCTGGTTTGACATTCTCACTTATGCTAATGTAGCTATACCTCTTCTGAGATGTAGAAACTCATAGCATTTGGGCTATAAATTAAAGTGGAAGGCTAAAAAATGAGAGAGAGACTAAGTGTAGGGAGCAAGAAAAGTGAAGAGGGACCCAAAAGGAAGACAAAGCAAATGGAGGAGAAACAGGGATAAAAAGAGGATGGATTTTTTTCCTGAGCACTGAGAAGCATAGCAAGGGATAAAAAGAGGATGGATTTTTTCCTGAGCACTGAGAAGCATAGCAAGAGCAGAAATGGGAAGCCACTTCCATGCTGGCTATGGGATTCTGGAAATTCTAGTTTGAAAAAGCAGTGCCCCATCTTTATCCAAAGGGCTTTAGGGAGGAAAATATGTTTGAGGGAAGAGGGAGGGCTACCTCTGTCTGTCTCATCCCAAAGTCCATGCTATTTTGTGTCATTTGCACAGGAGTTAAGGAAAGCATGGTAGCAGGGCAAAGATTTTGTCACTGATTCCATAATTTACTATATTACTCCTTTTGACTCATGTTGGGAATTTTTGCTGTCTCCCACATTTGAACAGCTTTTACTACTTGAGCTGGCATTAGAGCTTTTGGCAAAAAAAGTGGAGTACAAATACTTTAATAATAATTCCATGCCATCAAGTCAGTTCTGAGTTATGGTGGCAGTTTTCAGAAGTGGTTTACCATTCCCCCTTTTTTGGGGGGGGTACTGTGGGACTGTGCAACATGTCCAAGGCCACACAAGCTGGCTCTACTTACAGGGAGCACCTTGGAGAATTGAAATCCCAGTCTTTGGCTCCATAGCCAGATACCTAAACCACTGAGCTACTTGGCCACCTACCATAAACAATAATATTAAAAGTTATTGGGCTTTTCCTGTAATTTCTACACCTAAAGATGTGCAAAATCTGGAAATTAGTGCTGCTGTGAATGTTGTGGGTTTATTTAATTTCTCTGAAATAAGTGGGATGCGTAACTGTCATAAATAGAGACCTTAGAGGCATCAGTCATGGCAATTAGCACCCCACAAGAGGCCGTCTCTCTCTCTCTCTGGAATATTGCAAAATATTGCACCTTATTGTTATACTGTTGAATCACATGCAGCACCAAGCTTCGAAATGTTCCTTTTCAATGCTGTGGTTTCCAGAAGCACCAGCCGGTTTTTGCTGGGGGAATTCTGGGAGATCCTGTATAATCCAAAAAAGCAACTTTTACAATATCTAATGCAAGAGAATTTAATTTAAATGCTCAGCTCCATGTTTATGAATGTGTTCAATACACTGAGAGACCAGATGGAGGCTGTAACCAAAGCATACTGCTAAGTGGCA